TTGGAGCTATACTACAGTCCACTTCGCAAATGCATTTTCTGTGAGAATTGTTTACGCCACATGTGTAAGCAGAACCCAACGCTTACAAAATGTCCAATATGCAGAAACGTGATTCATAAATGTGTCGCTGACAATGGTATGTCTGTTTTATCATCATATGAATATAACTTTATACATTCTTTGAAGATATACATTCTTTGAAGAATGTACCGCAATTGTTATAATTGCTGAAAGGAAATAAGCTCAAGTTCTGCTTATGCTAGTATATACGTGTTAAAGAAATACATGATGTATATACGAAATTTTTTTAAAGGCTTAGCATTTCAAGAAAATATTTTGTGTTCATAGGCGTGATATTCAGCTTCACTTCTTTTTTAACTCTTTTTTTAACTAAAAATGAAAATCTTTGATGTTGAACCCCACCTGTGTCAGTCTGTGTCAGTACTTATTAACTTATTTATTTTGGTATTCTCTCTACAAATCGTTTAAAGTAATTCACTTTTCATACATCAAAAATTGGATGTATCTTAAAATAATAATCCCCCATCCACCTTTTTTGAGATCAATTATCTAAAAGTCCATTTCTCAAAAACAGTCAAAATATTCTTCTCAAGTCTGATTTTTATTACAAGTCCATTCTAAATAAGAAAGAACTCAAATTGAAATGACAAGACACAGAAAACGTTAATTTTGGCAAGGTTATGCCCCCTTCTTCCCCTCTTCCTTGACTGTAGAAAGGAGTAGAAAAATGGAGCATGCCTCTTATAGAGAGCTTAGAACTTTTTATTCGAAATTAATCATTACCTTCTTTTAACACAAATTTGGGATTTGACACAGACGATCCTGAAACAGCATGGACGTCTTTATAAACAGAGAGACCGTGTTATGTCTCGGAAAAAGAAAATATTTCGATTGCCATTTTGCAGCAGAACTCAGCGTGAAGTGGATCAGCAAGGGGCGCGGACACGGCCCCCTTACATTTCTGAATTTTATAAATGCACTGGATGTTATTATTTTTGTATCCAATTTCAAACGACTTTTTTGTGTACTCCTGTTATTAGCAGTAAACAGCATGCTCTTTAAATTGGATATGCTTTTAATGTTGGAAGTATATCCTCCGATAAGAGGCGAAATACATCCCTATCTCTTAACACTTATAGGTAGCCTTTTTGTACTTTCTGATCCCAAGATCAGTAAATACAAAGCTTACATCCACGGTCTAACACAAAATTTCCTCACAGACCTAACAACGCAGAGTAGTTCTTACTCAAAACTGCTTAAAAACCAGCAATTTAAAAGAAAGAATAATTTTTAATGTAGGCATTTAACGAATTACAGTGCATTCAAAGTTTAGATTAGTCAATAGAAATATGAGTTTACACTCACAAATTTCGCGGATGAATATCTTTTTTACCCAATGAAAAATGTTCGACTATTTCCGTAAAGCTTAATCAATGAAAATGCTATTTTTAGCTATGTCGATATTACCGAATACTCCAGAGCGTAGTACACAAATAAATCTGACCGTCGAGTAGTGGAATATATGCATGTCGGACTGTTTTGGCGAGAAGATTTCCGCTAAATTATTTTCATCAGTGTTTAACAACAGGTTTATCGTGAACAAAATACCTCGAAATTAATAAGGATTACAAACACGAAATGGAAATTCTCAATTTTAGAATTACAATGTATGTGCTTTTATTCAAGCTACATACGTATTACTTCACCGTGGTGCAGAGGTAGCGCGCTCGTTTAGGGTGTGAGAGGCCTAAGGTTCAAATCCTAATCGAGGCAACATTTTTTTAGGGGGCTTTTTTAAGGAAGTAGCCACGATATGCAAGGATAAAGTGTGGCTGTCATAAAAAATGAAAAATGATTTTTTGATGCAACTCTAGGCATGCAAAATTCCATATGTATCAATCTCTAACTGTTATAGAAAAAAAATCTAAATGCAGTCGCTGCGTAAGATGAATTATAGTATATAAAAATAAACTTATACAGGAAAGATCAGAAAATACCACAGAGCATGCAGCCCTTTGATTATGTTTGGGATAATGTTTGTTTTGACGAAGTTTTTAAAAGCTGCCTTTGAACAAACTATAGGGCATATTGTTTCATTTGTATTAATAATTTCTGTATTATTAGATGGCAGTTCATGGGTGAAATCCTTGCTCAATTTGATTGTGATAGGGTCTTTATTTTTGTGAAACTTGCACAAAAAAAGGGGAAAAAAAGATTTCTTGTCTATGATACTAAAATCATTAATTTGAGTAAGAGCTAGCTATTGTCCCATCTTCGCGTCACCGTCATATTTTGGTGCAAGTTGATATATCCAAAACTACAGAAAAGAATGGATTGAAACTCCACACACCTTTTCGCTGTTATTATCTACCAAGATGGGCACAGGTCCCACCCATCTGGGTTGCATTTTATGTTATGTTTCTTTTCTAATTGTCAAGCACTAAGAATAGTCGAGTGCCCTACCTTACGGACAACTCTTGATTATACATACATTCTATTGTATTAACTTAATTTACAAAAAATAGTGTTGTTTTATATTGTAAAATAAATGCTATTTCTGTCCTATGTTAACCATGAAAAAAATCTGCGACCTGGCATATATGTCAAAGATGGCAGGTTAAAAAGGAATGATTAGAAATGTGGTTACTTTTCTTACAAATCACCACAGAGAGCATATATAGGAAAGAAATAAAAGGGAAAAAACTCTGAAAGGAGTAATTTTCAAAGGGAAAGGGATATCAGTATCAGTGTGTAATAACCTAATTTACTAATATTATGTTTTGTATTCTAAATTTAAAAAATGCTTTGTAAATTGAATGTAATTCTCTCGTCATTTAGAAGTGGTAGTCATGAGAAATATGTCTGGGAACTGACATCGCTTTTTAAGATTAGAGAGGTCTTAGCAAATCTTAAAAGTTGAGTATTTTAATAAAGTGTCACTTACTAATTTGAATTATACTTGTAAGCTGTATTTTTTATTTAAATTTATTGTTGAATACACTTGATCAAGACCTCATTGTTAATATGTATATAGTTATGTAGTCTAATTTTAATGAGGGCCGACCCGCCCGTGTAGGGAACAAAAAGCAGTTTTCGCTGTCTAGTACGGACCCCGGACATGTCACAAGTCATGCCATTTAAGGCGTAATGTGGTGATTTCTTACCTCATTGCAATTTCCACAGAGTATAAGCCAAAAATATGAATTTTGAGCCAAAAAGGAGGTCACTGTACGGTAGCCAATGAGAACCTAAATGTACAGTGACCTGAGATAATAACCATAATCGTTGTTAATATCCCAACTCTTTAAATGTTCTAACTAAAAGTGATTTTGTTCAAGTTATTGTTCTTCTATGATATTTTGATATTGTTTTTTCAATGTAGTTTACATTATTTCTAATAATGCAGATTTATCATTTTAAAGTAATTTTATTAATGTATTTTTTGTACATAAACTAACTTTGTTTTAAAGTTTACAAACATAACTATATTAAATTCTTGAATGGTTAGCTTTTAATGCAAATTTATAACCAAAATTGTTTTTTTATATATATATTTCTATTCTTCATATAAAAGTTAAGTTTTATATCTATTGTGTGTGTAAAAGTCAAATATCCATACTCTATAAATATGTTAATGTCAAATTTTTGTTTTACATAAAAGCTAAGTTTCATATCTATTCTTTATGTTACAGTTATGTCAGATGTCTTTATTTTATAAATATGTAAATTTTGACATCAGGTTTTGCCTCTCTGATATAATGACCAGTTTGCAACATACCATTAAGTACTAAGGAAACTTATGGTTTTTTTGTATTACATGTATATGTTATATCCGGTGAACAGATTGTAAACGGAAGGTCAAAGGTCAATTTTAATTTAATTCGGAATAATAGGCTCCTGCACCTTTCGTTTTTAGTTAACATCACATTTTGTTAATGGTTGACGACATTTCGTTTAAGTTAACTGCGCATTTCGTTAATAGTGAAAACATCTTGGTCTGTAGGGGTCGTCCAATGTCACTGATGGCATTCTTTAAAAGTACTCAACTTAGGTTTGTTGACATGACCGGGCAGGAAATATTTTTCGGGATTATTGTTCGATGTATCTCTAGACAAATAACTTGTGTTCCCTGCCCCACCCCAAAAAAAAGAACATTTGGTCACCCTTTTTATTCCAGAATAATTATTCTTATTGTGAAACATGGCCTAAAATTGTTGTGCGTTGCAACGATTTCACTCAAATCTGGCTAACATGGTATGTAATCTATTTGCTACAATAGTATTTCCAGGGCCTTTCTTAAAAATTTTGATATATAAGTAATATCTCTAAAAGAAACAAAATTAAAAAGGAAAATAAAAAGTTAAATGAAATAAAAACAACAAGCTCGATTCCGCTTTCTCTCACACCCAATTCTCAACCAGACAACGACGAAGACGACCACTACCACCACCACCAATAACAAAAGTAACAAGAAAGAAACCCGCACGCACACACGCAGGCACGCACGCACGCACATGTTAATTTCAAATACATAATTGCTGTGTTTGATAACTGTACAGGAAACTTAAAGATTTGAATCTCCCTCCTCCTTCATCTTTAAATAAATCATGATATCATAAAGCTATAAACATACGCATTTTTGTAAGTTTGTAACATTGATCACGTGCCATTGTTCACGTGCTATTGTTGTGATCACCATAAGCTGCAGTATTTCTAATGACTAATTACTTTGTACAAGCACACGGTGATCTGTTCAAGCCAAAATAAATGAATAATAAATGAAGACAGCAATAATGATTATATAAATACGGTACCCCAGACTCCGGATTTAACCAAAAATATGCATGAGTTGCTTTTCTATTTTTAAGAAAGCTGTTATTTCGCGTAATTTGAATCTGTACTTTTGAATCTTTAATATCCGGCTAAATGCATATACATGAAAGGGCTTATTCATCTTTCAATCTGATAAACTCATTCATCATGTGAAGGAGAAATCCCAAAGTATGCACTGACCAGGGGGCACGGATGTGCCGGTTTGTCTTGGTCTGTACTGATCGCATGGGTAGATTCATTCGCTACCACCAGGCTCGAGAGTTTTTATTTATTTCTTTATCCAAAGAAAATATGAATAAGCCATAATGACCGAATATGTATGAAAGAATTGATACCAAAGGTTCAATTATTATTTTTATTCTTTATAAGTCAGTATGCTTGTATGAATATAAATCATTTCAACAAAAAATCATATTTTTTCAATTGCTGGAATGCTATATGTTATATTGATGGATTTTCAATATGTATGATATATTTTTGTAGACTTTTCTTCTCTAAAATGTTTTTGTAGAAACATATGTTGAGTAAAATTGAAACAATCGTCTATTGTGACCCAATAGGTTTCAGCACATGAAATACATAGTAGATATTACTGATATAAATATTGTATTATGATAATATACTTGCAATTGTCCAAAAAGAGTAAATATGGGAAAAGCCTCCAGTTTTGAGTTTTATTTGTAATCGACACAATGCGTAAACCATTCGGTGTCATACTACAATGACACTTACAATCCTAGACAAATTTTCAAAGGTATCTTGATATTAAAGTTAATCAATTGTAAATGATGGGGAAATTTGTTATATCCGCCTTCGTTGAACTAAAGTTGGTTTGTCCATTACACACATTCTATTTATAGATTCTTGATCATACAGGAGCAATACATATTATATAAAGACATTGGGCAAAACAAATATTAATTAAAACGAGATTGACATTGATTTTCATCAAATCAGTCAGATTTTTGCCGCAAGAAAAATAGATAAAAAGATAAATGTAAATATATATACAAAACTTTTTATTTTGCTACGATTTATTTTTTTCTCTCGTTATTACATAAATTTATAGTACTTTTCTCACAATTTAACACTATAATAAAGAATAATTTGTTTTAATATGTAAAAATGTGACAAAACTTTATTACTTAATGTTAAGTTTTAATAAGTTTAGAAGTAAACAGTTGAATTAAGTTTTATTTTTATAAGCTGCAAGCAACTTTAACTATACTCTACAAACTGATTAGCCTTGTAAAGTTTATTGGGAAAACCATTATCACTTTATGTAAGTGTACAATAAATTCATGTTTAATTTTCTTTAAGCTGCAAGCAATGAAATCTTTAACTATGACCTACCTACTTATTAGCCTTGTTACGCTTCATATGGTGGCAGAAATTGCTGGAAGACCTCGCATGAACTGTTGCCTCATCAGGAGATGTCCAAGAGGAAGACTGTGTACCAATATTGGATCCCGATGCCGGTGCAAAAGCAATCGTGTCATTACGGCTTTTCTATTGCTCAAGCGTCGGTCTTCGGATAATAGCAGAGAGGATACAGGTTCGATCCCTGGTTAAACATAAAAAAACGACGAATCTGGGAAATCGGAAGTTTCTAGGAGCAAAAGTAAACAAATAATGTTAGGTGAAAATTTCAGACTCTTATCAGTCGAGTCTGTTCGTGAGAGATGACGGACAATGCAATTTCTTTTGTGCCAGCTAGCAACGCCATTTCTATGCAAATAATTCTGCTTTTTATACCTTGGAATTCAATACGATAGAAATATAAACTAATTTACAAACAGTTAAAAAGAAAAAGAGAAAGATTTTACACTCAGATAGGTTGCTAAATCCCAAGTCCAGTTAATCAGAAAGTTTAATTTTTGCTTATTGGATTAAAACATAAAAATACATTAAAAAACTCTTGTTTTGAACTATATCCTGTGAGTACATATGTTGAAAAAGTTGAATGTCACAAGACTAGAATTTTTATGTAGATAGGCATCTTAAATGGAATATCCATATAGAAAAGACAAGTTCAAATATTACTGTAAAAAACACTGCTTAAAAGGAAATAATATTACCCCACTTTATAAAATGAAAACCAGCTATTTATTACAATCATCATCATTACGAGGGCTGTTCGAAAAGTATCCGGAAATGCTCCATTTTTTTTCATTTGTGTTCTCGCATTATTATTATTATTATTACTTTAATTATTATTATTGTGTGTTTTCTTATTTTGATGGGAGAGGGGATGGTATTAAATCTGGTGGTCTAAATTAATTCTTGCAAAATATACATCAAGTAAAATTTATTTTCGTAACTAAAATGTATATTATGTAAAACCCTATCAGACTGATGTATCTAACAACTGGGATCATTCATCTATATTGACACTGCAGACCCTTAAGATAACACAACATATGAACAATAATTGCTCCGTCTTTTAGCATAACATTAAATGAATGGAATAACGTATTTCGTGAAATTTAGTCAAATATAACGAATACGTATTTCACGACTCACACTGGGTGCCTGTTAGAAACTTTAATGAATATCTTTGATTTGCAATATAGTTTTGAATTTTATTGCCTTTTACTTGCAAAATTTTTTTCTTTGTAATTTTTGCAGACCTTTAATGTTTATTGAAGAACGTCACGTTGTTTATAAAGAAAAAGGTTTAAAACTTTTGTTTTATGATTTGTCTAAATACGTATGCTAGAAAAATAGACGATCAAATTGATGACATGACCACGGATCATTTATTAGCAATATAACGAATGAGACAAATGATGTAATTTTACAATATGATATGGCTAATTTAAATAAAGGACACTTGAAGTTTCAGTTTCATTTAGATAATACAAGATCACAATCCCTAGTTCTCCCAAGCCTAAACATATGTGATTTGTATAACCACAATTAATTTTTTAAATGTGGATCGTTATTATTCTTTTAAATTACACTTATATGTGATATTGTGTTTGCTCAAATGACATTAACTAAGAATGGCAATAAACTTTTTTGTTGTTGATATTTTCCATGGTATGTAAAGTTATTAAAACAGGAGAGAGTTTCACTCAATCCTTTCACATGTATGATTGTTTATATTATTGTTTATATTACATGTATATATGTATTATATAAGTAAAAATGTTTTAACCAAGTATTGTTCCGTTTTTATTAAATACTGAAAAAAAACCCAACAAATCCTTAATCAACACAACAAGTTCAGAACGGTTTCAGACGCGATTGGACCCAGCCGCCAGGTCATTGACGGCAGCAGTTAATGAGTATTACCGTATACAACCCCATTGTAACGGCTCCGACAAAATTAATAATTTTTATATGCAGTATGACATCGGTAAACCATGACCATGGACTTTTCAATAAGAGATTTTGTGACATTCAACAAAAAGCGGATTATGGTCAACCAAGAAAAAATGGCTTTGAGAACTAATTCAAATACATTTTGTTTAAAGATTACTTTGTGAAGTCATTTTACTGCAAAAAAAGAAACAAACAAATCATCAACAACGGCAATATTATTATTCCTGATAAATAGGACCCCTATATATGTCAAGTCCGATACATTAATTGTAGTGTATAACTTTAACTGTGATATTCCTTATTCCTTGTTAGATATTTTGTAGTTTTTAATATGTTTGGCAAGATATTTGCGATATGATAAATAGTACTGTTTTTTATTTAAGTTTGTTTATATTTAATGAAATAGAGTACATGAAATTCAAACTATCCTTTAACTTCAATAAGCAAAAATACAGAGCCATATAGATCTTCAAATAATATTTGCGCGGCCATCAATCTTTTTAAGCATTTCCATATAGACGCCGATTTTAAAGAATAGTCTGTCCAAAATGGAAACTTAACTTTTTTCAACCACAAGAAAAGAAAATGTTATATAGTGTTGTGTAGGTAAAGCCATGGTAATATATTTGCGACTAATTTTGGAAATATATAATCTATTGTGGCCATAAGGTACTATCTTCGCGATTACGTTTATTTTTATTATCATTATGATTATCATTATTACGATATGGCCAAGGAAAGGATTAGCTAATGCATGCATAATTGCTTATTTGCTGAGCTACTTAACGACCTTAAGTAGGTCCAACCTCAAACAATAAAAGGAAACCATCAATTTCATTACTATAATCCGGTATGGAGTGTGTATGCAATAAGTAAGTGCTTAACTTAAATTCACTGGGATGCACTGATTTCATTTTCAGTATCAAATGTTTATTTACAATATTCAAAGCACGTAAAAAAGAAACTCATTTATTTCATGCACATGTCTCATTTTTGTTTCATAATTACACAAAGTATAGACAATAGAAAGTATATCACGGTTAGAAAAGATAAAATGTAAGATTATGAAGTGTATTATGAAATGGCTTAGTGTTCCAGTTATCTAATACTCAGAGTATTACTCGGGGTAAAATCGTCCTTAAGATCAGGAATTCGTTGAGTGCTATGAAACAGAAACATAAGTATTAGAGTGAAAATTGCATTATTTGATTGATTGGGTCTTATTCTGAGGGAAAGTGAACAGCGTCACATTATTGACGCTCTAGAGCACCGCCTTAAACAGAATTTCTATTTACAGATACGAAAATATTAGAATCAGTGACCACAAGATCTCAGAAACGCATATCGCACATATTGAATACCATACGGCGCAACATTTTACAACTGCCACACATCACTTAACACCTGCTGTCGTGAATAAAAAACCTCGAGTTCCCTCAAAAATATAATTAAACTAACAATATATGATGATATTTGCACATTTTAATTTTTGTCAAGAGGGCAATTGGAAAAGTATTACTATCGATTACACGCCTGTCTTGATTAAAGAGGTTTCAAACTTAAATCTTTTCAAACGTTGTTCATATTCTTCTTACTAGAGAAATTTAGGATTCATACAGGGGATTGGCTAAACGGAAAAAAAGAAAGATCAATATTATCTTGATTATCAACCATTACAAATCAATTAGATCTATTTGGTATGTAAAATGATACTGCGATGTAATGCAATGATGATATCCAGCAACAAACTTTCGAATGTATGGCAAAATATGTCAGATTAAAAAATAATATTTTTGACATACGCTCATATGATTTCATGTCAGCATTAAATTGCAAAGAATAGCGCTATAAATATTATTACTTTACAGATACATGTGGAAATTACCACATTTTAAAATGACGAAATGATCTAACGTGATTTTTAGCAAGAAGTAAGTATTATCGAAACTTTGGCCATTAAGGCGCAGTATTCAAGCGGAACGTAACTATCAATCTAGTTTGTGACGTCTCGCATTCTTCTTTACGATCTTGTCGGTGATTGGCTGAAAAAACATCATCCCGCGTTGTAATAAACCTCATGTGTCAAGTGGTGTGTTTATATTTACATTCCCGGATATAATACAGCTATATAAGTAGACGAGTTTGTCTTTAAATTCAAATTAGTTTTATAAAACTACAATAACGCAGCAAAGAAAATAAAGTTAACAACTTTATATAATTGAATATATCAAGGTAATTTTAACGTTAAGATTTCTAATTTTAAGAAAGTAAAAACTTTATTTTATCATTTTAAGTCTGAAAGAAATCAAAATTATTTCTTTTCTTTTTCATTTCTATATTGTTAAACAATACATTAAGAAATTTATTAACTATAAACCATTTATATGCGGATTAGAGATTTACTTTCATGAATTTAATTGTTATTTTCTCTTTCAGTTTGAAGAGTTCCTTGCCATGCAAACTAGAAACGCAGCTTATTTACTGATATGCCTTATAGCATTACATATGGTGTCGGAAATTGCCACCCGACCACAAGCAAACTGCTGTCGGTACAGAAGGTGTCCTATTGGGAAAATGTGCGTAAATATTGGTTCCCGTTGTAGATGTAAGAGTAATCGTGTTATTTCGGACTTTTTAGACATGTTCATGGGATCTCCAAAGGAACAAAAACTTTCAATAGAAGTTAGTGAGGAGGATGATCAACAGTTCTGGTAATAAGAGGGCACATCAATTCCAACTGTGATATTCAACTTTGTGATTATTATTACAACTAAATATCAATGAACATTTTTTATTTTTACCACTTGTGTTCATATTTGAGTTCCTTTTGTAATTTTATTGAATTTCTTATGCTCGAACATTAGTATTTTATAATACTCAGTGGTGTAAACTTTAATTGTGTACGAAACTATGTACGGTAAAGTTTGCATAAATAATGATATCGCTGTATTCTTATTGTGATACTCTTTCACTATTTGAAAGAATTATTATCATTATATACGTAACTTCTGTGATCTTAAATAGTATTATTACTAAATGATCTTTTTGTAGAGATATTGTTTGTGTCCAACGTAATGATGTCAAATTTTTTATCTTCTCGGATGTTTAATATCTGTGTTGTGTGTTTTTAAGTTGAAATCCATGACTTTTAAATTTTGCTTACTCTTTATTTATTTATTTATAAATTTATTTGAAAATGGGTGTGATATTTTAGATACATGTTTTATGTTCCATTTTATTTGCAATCTATATACAGTGTACATGTTCACATATTTCAAATATACTCATTTTTTACATTTATTTGTTAGCCATTTGAACTTTATTGAATAATGATCTAGAAATAAAGAAGTTTAATACTAATATTTGTCTATGTCGTTTATATTATTTTAATACGGAATCACTTTGCATTATCTATCGGAAAAAGATAAAAAAAACCATGTAACTCATTGTTAGCTGTTCCTATTGTTAGCATGACTGCTTTATAATGTTGTTTGCCCATACATGTGTGTCTGTTAAATGTCTCGTTCGGCTGCCTTTATTAACTATCTATTAATACCTATGTTACTATATATAGTAACAAAATCTAGGGTATTTCAGGGCCATTATGGCAAGATCTAGGTCATTATGCAATTTTGGCCGCCATGTTACTCAGCATTATTTTTCCATAAAAGGCGAGTGAAAATACGCACGTGCAGAATGACGTCATCAACTCTCAGTGACTTTCAAGATGGCTGCTGACGTTGAATGAACTGTAGTCACTTTCACACAATTTTTTTTAAAGTTTTAATGACACAATTAATCACAATCAGCAAAGCTTATCATTGAAAAATTATAAACTCAAGACAATAGATGACCCTCAGAAATTCCAAAAATGATTTTAGATTGACTGTACGAAAAGGTCGGAACATAGACAGTCTCAGAAACTGTTCTTGAAGGCACACAACTTCATAAAAAACTAGCACTAGATCTAAATGTAATTCTCACAAAAATGTGAAGAGGAGGGTTCTGTATTATCGATACAAACAACAATAAAACAACATTTTCTTAATTTATTTTGTGTTGTCTTGTTTTCTAAGTTAATCGGAATGATAAACTGTACAGTATAACAGATCTATACTGTATTTGTTTACATTTACAACTGTCCGTTTCTTAGAAAGGGCGACAAGCGGCGATGTCTAAACGCCGTATTTCGGACATAGGTATTAAAGACGTTAGGCCATTATGCACATCTTCGGACCATTATCGCATAATGGCGAGCAGCAACCAAGTATTAACCTCTAAGTGTATTCTTCTTTTTCATTATTGAATTATTAATGAATTATTGAGCTAGTGCTGAGAAGTATTATTCTTTGTCATTTCATTAAAGTATAAAACAGAATAGTTTCTGCTTTGTTTGACTTATTATAATTAGTTAATTATATTGATAAGCTGTCTTAGAATTCGAAAAAACATAATGCATTATGATTACAAAGGAGAAGAAACGGAGGAAATAAAGAATATCATAAAACTTTATGTAAAGATATAATACCCTCGCTTATGCTTCAGTTATCAGTTAAAGTATTTAACACCTTTAGGGCATTTAAAGCTTTATAAATGTAATGTCTTTGCTCATTATGCAGATAAGTATAACTTTACCGTTTCCCGTAAACATTACATTATCATTTGTCATCAAACGATAGTAAATCATATAGTAATTAAGTTTTTTTCTCCTTTCATATCGAACTCTTTCGTCTGTAAATGATATTACTATTATTGTTGTTTAGCGAATTTCTAGCTTTCACTGGTGAAGGAATACATCTGGGGTCTCTCCTTGCATTATCATTATTTAATTCAGGCCCTTTGAATGGGTACTTGGGTAGAACCAACAACGTTCCGTATGCTAAATGGAATTAAATAGGAGGATATTGAATGAAAGCATTTAAGACCGCACAACACGGCAAACTTGAAAAGTCTTCAGGCCCGGTTAAATAAAAATAATAAAGACACTTCATTGACGGGGAAGAAACCTAACGTCTAAGTACCCATCCCAGTTCCGGCTAAGGTAGAATTGAATATTTAAAAATAAAATTGATAGAACCTTAATTAAAAATATCCGATGTGTTCATGCGACTGTTTCACTTTCATGCCATCCTATGAAAATCGGTATATAACCTTAGAATGAGAATGAAGATGCGTGTACTTTTAAAGGAAAACAATGCACGAACTTATGCAAAATGGAATTGTAATAGGGTTATCAGCGTGTCACAAAAAGCTGTCAAAAAAAGAGAGAGAAACTTTCGTTAAGCTGGGACTATTCCTAAGGGGTTTTAGAGTTTTCAAGCAGGACAGCTGGTGAAACCCAACAAGAAAAACAAAACTAAAATGATTTTCATAAGAATAAAACAAACGCAAGAAAATTGTCGAGCTGGAAGATCTTCAAGGATCAGAAATATAACATCTCATGGTGAAATTTTAAAGCCGCTAAATGGTACAAACAGCGCTGACGTGACAGTAAAATTAGAATGGAAATTATGTTCATTCAAGTTCCAGTTCTGTTTTTTCATTTAGTAATGTAAAAATATAAATAATTGAATTTAAAATCTAGTGTTTTAGGGAAGAAAAGTAACGTTCATTGCCAGTTAACAAATCAAACGCTTAACTATTTTATAGTCGTCCCTAAGGAATATTTCTGAAATTGTTATCTTTTCTTTCTAGATACGACCGCTTTTCAGGAGTATTGGTGTGTATAGCACGGGATAAATTAAAGCAAGCATATCATCTTGATCTCAAAATAAGACGAACATGTTTAAATCAACACAGGGAAAAAAACACACCATCCATAAAGGACAAAAAGTATATATACTGAATAAAAAAGAAAGTCCCATTGTTTAAGCGTGGATAAAGTGATGTTTTTTTCAAAACAATCAAAATGTCAAATGAGCTACATATAATCGGGCAAACGATTATAAAACAAATCATAACTCGATTTTAACTCGTTTTGCAGGAGAAACCCGCTGAACGCGATTTTCACGTGCATGCACGGACTAGTTGATTTGTGTATATTTTATGAAACATTTTAGTGCAATTTTATAGACTTTCATGTCAATAAGAAACCGAGTTTTTTTGATATGCCTAGAAGTCCGCAAAATGTACGCGAACGTGCCATTGGCATGCTTAATGCTGGTATGACGACGAATGCCGTCGCTATGAATATTGGATGTTCTACTCGTGCTATTCGATACATTAGGCAACGTTTTCAAGCAACAGAACGTACAATAGATCGACCACGTAGTGGACGTCCACGCGTCACGACGCGTGCCCAGGCTATATTCGGAACACCCACCTGCGCAATTTCGTGCCATTCGATACATTAGGCAACGTTTTCAAGCAACAGAACGTACAATAGATCGACCACGTAGTGGACGTCCACGCGTCACGACGCGTGCCCAGGCTATATTCGGAACACCCACCTGCGCAATTTCTTCCAAACTGTCGCAGCTACTGCTGCCAACACCAACAACCGTATATCAAAGCGTGCGTAATCACTTGCTTGAGGGTGGGCTACATGGACGTCAAGCTTACGTTAGTTGTGTTTGAGGAAACGTCACCGCGTTAATCGTGTTAATTGGGCACGTACATTCTAACGCTGGCTTAGACAATAATGGAATAGCGTTCTTTTCTCTGACGAGTTGAGGTTTTCCATTCATCGAGCTAATGGCAGGGTTCGAGTATACTATAGGAGAAAAACGTTTTTGCGAATTGCTGCGTACTTGAACGAGATCGTGTTTGGGGATGGGCCTTCTATCTTGATCTGAGCAAGCCTTGCACATGGCTTCCCACTTACCGCGTCGTTATCATAGGGAAATTGAATACCAATCGCTACCGAGATGAAATCCTTTGGAGGCATGTTAACCCACTGTTTCAAACAATGACAATGTCACTCGTTTTTCAACATGATAATGACACAAGCCATACAGCTAGGGACACCGTGAATTTCCTCAGGGCGAATAGCATTGTATTTATAAATGATTGGCCTGCCAAAAGTCCTGATATTAATCCCATCGAACACCTTTAGGATAATTTGGACCAGCGTGTTAGGCGTCAAGTCTTAATTCAGGAATGAAACATTATTCGACAAGACAAAATCCGTTCTTTGTGCCAACGATGCCAGACAGTCCTTCATGCTGAAGGTTGCCATACCCGATATTAATTTATGATTTTGTTGGGCGACCCCTTCTGCATTTTAACAACCATTTTACTACTTTTTGGGCAATATTTTGTTTTTCACAAAAATGGCAATAAAATACTCTTTCAATACATATAAATCTACTTTAATTTTGATTTTCATACTTATATATATATGCACTTAAATACAGGAGAAGTTTCTTTTTTATTCAGTATATTTTGAATAGACTTTTTGTTTTTCGATTACTTTGATTACATGCATTCATTTTTACAATCTATCTTATTAATTGTTATGTTTATTTGAAAGTCATGATGATAACGCGGACTAGGAATCTATAGATAGGGTTCAAAGCCGTTGTTTCTTTGAGTAAAACTCTTGACACTCATTGCCCAGTACTGGTTGGTTCCAGGAATGGATGCGAAAGTGTGTCTTTAAGTATAATCGAACTAACATAATTCCTGTATAAGCTAATTAGATACTGCTTTTATTTAGAGTAACTTTGATGCTTTGATGTATTTGAGGGCATTCTTTTTTCTCGTTGAGAACCATACGCCTCTGAAAAATGGAATATACCACATTGAAGGTGCCATGATTAACTTCGTATTAACACATCTGCGAATGTTTTAAAATTCACAATTTGACCATTTCATGTTTTAATTATGAATTCTAATTAAGTTGAAAAAAGGGGCGTGAACGGTTGTTTGAGTTTATTCTTATTGTCCATGAACAGACTGAAGCAAACAGAGTTTGCAACATTTTCAACTTTGCCGTTTCTGGCGTTCTTTTGGGTTTCCATTTTTGACCTTTTTGATGACCGCCCAATGAACACATCTGAAGATGTGTCTAAATTCAAAAAAGTTACCATTTCATGTAAATGTGTAATTCTGCTTAGACCGGTGCAATGGGGCATGTGCGGTAGCTTGCAATTTTCAGTACCGTCCTTGAACAGGCTCCATTGGGACCGAATCTGCAATCTTTACAATTCTTCCATTTCGGACGTTGTTTAGGGATGACCTTTCCTCTATTTTGCCATAATATTCCTTAGATAGTAACTCTATTATTTTTATAATTTTGATAATTTGATATTTTTATTATCATTTTTACATGTTTTATAATGACAGCAAAAGAACCATACAAATGACGTCTGTTGAAGATTATTTTGATTGGATAAATATCTAGAAATTTCAAATGTTGATTATTGACAATAATTTATGTTTTTGGACTTTACCTACTGTGCCCAAAATTATAATTTCAACCTCTTTTTTATTTTGCCGTATATAGAAACGATGTTATATAACAATAAAATACCAAAAAATAAGAATTGTGTCCAGCTCTTTACCAGTCGACCAAATATGGTAGTGACTATTTGTTACAACATAAAAGTAGAGTAAACAATTTGTTTTGGAAGGATGTTTTGAATTCATTTTATTTATTTCAATGTAAGATTCGTTCAGGTTAATGGGCAGATTTCTTGTCCAATCCGGTATGGTTAAATCCTAATTTCAAAATTGCAGGAAAATCGTTTGAATTTAAACACTACTTAAGAAAAGGTGTTTTGTTTGTCAACGATTTTGTAAATGAAAATGGGTTGTTTTATAGTTTTCAAGAATTTCAAAGATTATTTGATGTTAGCTCAAACTTTCTTGAATATGAAGGTATAATACGTTCCTTCAGAAAAACTTTGACGGATTTTCATGTAAATCAAAATGATATCAAAGTAAAAAACCCGATATTGCCAATTGCCATCCAAATACTTAACAAAAGTCGCAAAGGATGTCGCGCAATATACGACGTGCTGGTCAATAATAATCGTCAGACAAAATCAGAAATAAAATGGCAAAATGATTTTTCTAATATTTATCTTAACTGGAAAAGTATCTACTCTTTACCCTTTAAAGTGACCAAGGATCCAAAACTTTTATGGCTTCAATATAGAATAACGCATCGTATTTTAGGTACTAATGTATTACTGAAAAAGATTAATGTTAGGGACAACGACAACTGTACATTTTGTAATGTCAATCCAGAAACCATAAAACATTTATTTTGGGAATGTGACATAGTCAACATGTTTATAAGGGACGTGCAGGGCTGGTTAACAAACAAAATTCCAAATTCATCTTTTCATTTTTCAGAACAATCTGTCATTTTCGGCTGTTCCCGATTCACAGTTCCAGAGAATAATATATTATTATTATTAAAACATTATATTTACAAATGTAAAATGAAGTCCGTATTGCCAAGCTTAGAGGCTTTTAAAAATCAATTACTATTTTTGGTTAAAACAGAAATAATTAATGCCAAAAAAAATGCTTAGGTTTGAAACAATGCAGGTTGTATGGAAAGAATACATAAAATTAATCAATGAAAATGAAAGTACCTAACATTATTAGCTGTAAAAAAATTGTGACATTTATTGTTGTTGTAACTTAACTCTTTAATAATTGAACGTTTGTGCAGAGTAAACTTTGCCTTTTAAAAAAAAAATATAATAAGAAAATACATATAGTACTTTGCAAATGTATGAATTTGTGTGTATCATTTCAGAACATTGTTATTACATCAAATTTCATGGTATTGTATTATTGTATTATTTCATGACTTTTATTGTTTGCATTGTACAAAAAAAAAACCAAAAACATTTAACATTTTCCTTTGCCCAGTGATGTCTAGCCATGGACACAAAAAATAACTAGAAAATATCATGTGCTTAGCCTTATACAGGTGCAACCAATGGTTTTAAGAAATCGATGGACTGTAGAAAATGTACTATTGTTAGTCAATATGGTGTCCCAAAAAGGAGCAATTTAAGATGAACCTGCATGGAATGTCTGGCTCATTTTGACTGGATTTTCTGAAAGGCACATATAATTATTATCATCATAAAGAGTGAAAATGTATTAGGTGCGTTACAAAAAATAGCTTCCTTACTGAGACATTTGCCAGTTGTACATGTAAATGTTTTACTTCTGGAACGATAAACCCCCTCATTTTGGTAAGAAAACGAAATTTGTAAGTCAGTTATTGTATAAAATAAAACAGAAACATGTTTACATTCTGCTATTTCACCGTGATATAATATTGTAGCATGTCATCACTCATACTCATTTGCATGACTTACTTTTTATACTCTAAGTAATTTATTATTTTTTGTATTTTTGAAGATCAGAAAGACAAAATAGTGTATATTTTCAGTTGCTACTGCAAGGTAACGTTTTTGCATTAGAACAACTATGGCTTTTAATAAAAGGCACATCGGGAGCAATGAAAAATATCTTGTATCAATATTATGGTCAAAATCGAATGTACATTTACCAAATTAGAATCACATACTGATTGCCTTTCTTTTAAATTTGCTCTCTGCACTTCTGTAAATATTCGTCGTACAAACGATCGGAACAAATCTGAAGTACGTTTAAGATTTTTTCTCCAATTTACATGCAGACATGTCCGGACTTGTATCGTTTATTATACATGTATCATCCTTAATCAAATTTACTGAGGTAAAAATATTGTACTGGGAACACCTGAGGTCTTCCTCAACCGGTTAAGCTGGAAAGTCGCAATAAGACAAATTTGATGCGACTTGAAACCCAATTAAATAAACAATCGAATTTAGTATATTGTACAGTCAAAATTTACATTTCATTATTATACTCGTGAAGAATGAAAATATAGAAACGATTTTACTCAATTGGAGTGCGGCAGTGCGGCAGTGCGGCAATTACTAGTATCATAGCAATTATCCAATCGTCATTCTTTTTACAATAAAACAAGCCAGTTTTTAACTAACTTTTAACTAGTTTATGAAAGCCTTTGGACTAGATTAAAACAACAAAAGTCATTTTAATGGTCTACCAAACGTTCATGCACTAGGTGATTATTTAACTCGAATGAGTATCAATGTTCCAAATTATGACATAATCTGTTAAATTTGATTCAGAAGGTAAATATTTGCAATACGCTCGTATGTGTTTTTGAAAGAAACCTCAAATAACGACACACCACAGATTCTTGCCCACCTGAGAAATATCCACATTTTTAACTGGTAAATGCTTTCAAGTGATTTTTAACAAATATTGAGTGAAACTGACACTTTTGGCCATTCATGCGCATTTGTTTGGCCATTAAGGCGCAGTAAATAAGATAACCATAATTATCAATAAGTTTGTGACGTGCCACATTTTTTTTCTAACGATCTTGTAAATGATTTGATATAAAGCATCATCCCGAGCTGCAAGTATTTCGTAACCAACATCCTGTCTCAAGTGGAGTAATAACTTTTACATTCCCGGATGTAATAAAAGTATATAAGCGGACGAGTGTATCGAACAGTTTTAAATTAGTTTTACAACACTAAGATAAAATTGTCAGGAAAATAAAATACAACATATTTATACCGTTTGATTTAACAAGGTAATATTTACATAAATATTTTACTTAACAATACTTAAATTAACCTCATCATTTTAAGTATGAAACAACAATGAAACTGTTCTTTTTAATTTTTTCTATAGTTAAATACTATATAAGCAACATAGGTTATAAAATGTATATGCAGAATGGACATTTGCTTTAAGAGTACTATTTTTGTTTTCTCTTACAGTTTGAAGAGTTCCTTGCCATGCAAACTAGAAACGCAGCTTTTTTACTAATATGCCTTATAGCATTACAAATGGTGACGGAAATTGCCACCCGACCACAAGCAAACTGCTGTCGATACAAACGGTGCCATATAGGGAAAATGTGCGTAAATATTGGTTCCCGTTGTAGATGTAAAAGTAATCGAGTAATTTCGGACTTTTTAGACATGTTCATTGGATTTCCAAAGGAACAAAAACTTTCAATAGAAGTTAGTGTGGAGGATGATCAACAATTCTGGTGATAAGAAGGCACATCAATTCCAACTGTGATATTCAACTTCTGTGATTTTTATTACAACTAAATATCAATCAGAATTTTTCATTTTTACCACTTGTGTTCATACTTGTGTTACTTTTGTAACTTTTGTGTGACTAGATTTCTAGATTTCTTATGCTCGAACATTAGTATTTTCAATGTTCAGTGGTGTAAACAAAAGTGTGTACAATCAAGTTTGCATAAATATGTTATCATTTACAACAGTATTGCGATTATAAAAAGTTATTTTTACAGTAATCACTGTATTTTTATTGTGATACTCTTTCAGTATTTGAAAGAATTATTATAATTATATACGTAAAGAAGCAAGCTCCAGCTTGTGTGATCTCAAATAGTATTATTACTATATGATATATTTTCATAAAGATGTCGTTTGTGTCCAACGTAATGATGTCAAATTATGATATTTTCGGATATTTAATATCTGTGTTGTGTGTTTTTAAGTTGAAATCCATGAATTTCAAATTTTGTTTACGCTTTCTTTATTTGTTTATTTATTGATTTATTTACTGATTTACTGAAAATGGGTGTGATATTTTAGATACATGTTTTATATATTATTTTATGTGCAATCTATATACATGTACAAATATTTCAAATACATTTATTCGATAGCCATTTGAACTTTATTGAAAAATAATCTAGAAATAAAGAAATTGAATACAAATGTTTGTTTCTGTCGTTTATATTACTTAAATATGGAATTCTTTTGCATTATCTACCGGTAGAAAATAAAAAGCTCTTATTGTCAACATAACTGCTTATAACGTTATTTGCCCCTACATCGTAAGTTCTTTTTTTTGTCTGTTAAATGTCTTATTCCGCTGCCTTTGTTTACTTTCTATTATTTTCTTCGTTTTCATTAATGAAATATTGAGCTAATGCTGAGGAGTTTTAGTTCACTGTCATTTCCTTAAAGTATAAAACCGAGTTTGAATTATTAGTTAATTTTATTAATAAGCCGTCTTAAAAATCTAAACATAAAGCAAAATGTTTTACAAAGGAGAAGAAACGGAGTAAAAAAAGAATATCCTAAAACTTTATGTAAAGAAATAATACATTCAGTTATCAGTTAAAGTATTTTACCACCTTAAGGCATTTAACGCTTTATAAATCATTATGCAGATTAGTATAACTTAACCGTTTCTCCGTAAACATTATCATTTGTCATCAAACGATAGTAAATCATATATTAATTAAGTAGGTTTTTTCTTTCTTTCATATCGAACTCTTTCGTCTGTAAATTAAATAACTATTATTATTAGTGTAGGAATACATCAGGTGTCTCTCCTTGTATTATCTTTTTTTAAGACAGGCTGTTTGAATGGGTACATGAGTAGAACCAACAACGTTCCGTAAGCTAAATGAAGTTAAATTGGATGATATTGAATGAAAGCATTTAAGACCGCAAAACACGGCAAACTTGAAAAGTCTTCAAGCCCGCTTAAATAAAGCCCCTTCATGGACGTGGAATGTAAGCTTCCGTCCAAGTATTCGCCCAATCACCCGCTTACACAGAATTGAACATTTAAAAATGATAATTATGAAATATTAATTTAAAAATATTCGCAGATTGTTCATACAACATGAATCCTTTGGTGAGCCGCAACTATGTTATTTTATGAGGATAGAAATAGAAATTCGTGTACCCTAAATAAGAAAAAAATGCACGAGTGTCACAAATAGGTGTCAAAAGAAAGAAAAAACTGGCACAAATCCTAAGGGGATTAAGAGTTTTTAAGCAGGACTACTGGAACTACCCAACATGAAAAAAGTTTAAGGATTTACATGAACATAAAACAAACGCACAACAACATTTTCAAAGTATCTCTGATTGACTCCATGCAGGATACCATCTGACGCCGCTAAATGGTAAGAACAACGCTGATGTGGAAGTTATATTCATTCAAGTTCAAGTTCTTTCTCTTAATTTAATATTGAAAAATATTTCAGCTAGTTTTGGGAAACAATAACGTACATTACAATTTAACAAATCAAGCGTAGTAATTATACAACAATCAAATTTATTTTAAACCAACTCTAGGACACATTTTCAAATCTAAAATGGATATCCTTTCCATTTTGATACACATATCTTTCAGAACTATTGATGTTTAAAGCACTGGGTAAATTAAAACAGCCGTATCTTTTAATCTCAAAATAAGACGAACAATTTAGATCAGAACAGAAAAATAGACATCCTGCTTAGAGGGAATATATTGTATTACTATTGATGTTTATTTTGACACATCTGCGGATGTTTTAAAATTAAAGATTTTACCATTTGTGTTGAAATGTTGATTTTTGCTTAAGTCAAGGGCGTGAACGTTAGTTTGAACCTGCAACATTTTCAATTTTACCGTTTTGGGCGTATTTGGAATAGACGTTTTAGGCGTATATGGAATAGACGTTTAAGGTGTATATGGAATAGACGTTTTGGGCGTATATGGAATAGACATTTTGTTCTTCGATGACTTTTAACTTCCTTTCAAATTAAATATTCTGCATGTCTTCTTTCATTGAAATGCATTAAATGTTACTTTCTATTTTATTACTATTTGTGTTTATTTGAAAGTCTTGCTAGTAACGCGGACTAATAATTTATGGAAAAGCCGTTGTTTCCTTAAGTAAGGAACTTGACAAATAATGCTCAGTACTTGTTGGTTCCAGGAACGCATTCTACAGTGTGTCTATAAGCTTATAGCTTTCTACATATATGAACTAAAATAAGTTCTCTACAATCTAAGAAGATTGTGCTTGAATTGACAGTATCTTTGATGCTTTGATGTATTTTAGTGCAAATGCATTCTTTTATTTGAGGTCCATATGGCTCTTTTAATGGAATGTGCCATATTGACGATTCCTGCAGATGTTTTAAAATTGAAAATATTACCATTTGTGTTTAAATGTTGATTTTTGCTTAAGTCAATGGCGTGAACCTTAATTTGAACCTGCAACATTTTCAATTTTGCCGTTTTGGGCGTTCTTAAAGTTTTCAATTTTTACCATTATCATCACCACTGCATAAACACATCTGAGGATGTTTTCAAATTCAAAGTTCCATTTCCTGTTAAATCTTGAATTCTGCTTAAGCCGGTGTTAGGGGGGCGTTGACGGTAGCTCGCAAGTATCAGTGCCGTCCACGAACAGGCTCAATCGGGACGGAGTCTGCAATTTGTACAAGTTTGCTGTATTGGATTCGTAATTATAAGTTATCTTCCATTTATAACGAGTTGATTTTTTCTGGAAGAAAAAATATCCTAAAATTGGTAAGAAAACAACTTTGATAAGTCAGTTGTTTGGCATATGAAATAAAACGAAACATGTTGACATTCTGCTATTTCACCGAGATATGATATTGTAGCATTTTATCAAATACGATGAGAAATTTGTATGACTTTTTTATACTTTAGGTTATTTATAAACTTTTGTATTATTTAAGATCAGAAAGACAGAATAATGTTCCATTTCAGTTCCTGCAAACTTGTATTTGGGTAAGGTTTTAGCATTAGAACAACTCTGGCTTTTAGAAAATAAAAACACACCGGGAGCAATGAAAAATATGTTTTATTTATTTTACGATCAAAATCAAATGTACATTTACCTTTAATAATTAAGGAGAAATTAGAATGAATTCATTAATATGCAAACATTAATTTCCTTTTCTTTTTTTTTCTCTGCACTTCTGTAATTGTTCGTCGTATAAACGATCGAGACCACTCTTTAGTATGTCTAAGATATCTTTTCTCAAATTTACATGCAAATATCTCCGGACTTGTATCTTTTATTAACTTATCCTGAATCAAATTTACGAGCAGCTGCTCGCGCGTGTCTGAAATAATTCACTTGGGAGCACCTGAGTTTTTCCTCTGCCAGTAAAGCTGGAAAGCCGCAATATAACAACTTTAATGCGACTTAAAACTCATAAACAAAGAAATTTAGTATATTGTACAGTCAAAAATTGCATTTCATTATTATACTCGTGAAGCATGAAAATGCAGAAATATTCTATATTTGCTAGGTTTCTTTTATTGTGCTCGAATGCATTTTGTAGTTCTAGAAGCTAACCTGATTTTACTAAATTGGTTATGCTGTAGTTCTTCATTTTGATTCTTTTTTCATAGCATTTACCCAATCGTCATTCTATTCACAATATAACAAAAAAACTGGACGAAGGGTAATCGCCCGAAAGCATTGATCACAACAAATTTATATTGAAATTGCAGACTTGATTTAATTGAGTCTGTGCGAGATTATTAAAACCAATAAACTAGCTTCAAAACAGCAAAAGTCATTCTAATGGTCTACCACACGTCCATACCCAATGTGATTATTTAACGTGGATATGAGTATCAAAGTTCCAAATAATGACATTATCTGTTAAATTTGATTCAGAAGGTAAATATTTGCGATACGCTCGTATGAAGGAAAATGCAAATTATGGCACACCACAGATTCCTATGCACCTATGCACTAAATATCTGGTAAATGCTTTCACGTGAGTTTTAACACACACTGAGTGTAACTGACAATTTTGGCCATTCATGCGCAGTTCTTTAGTCAATAATTAAGGCGCAGGCAATAAGATAACCGTAATTATCAATAATTTTGTGACGTGTCACATTTTTTTCAGACATCATCCCGCGTTACGAATTTCGTAGCCAACATCCTGTCTCAAGTGGAGTAATAACTTTTACATTCCCGGATGTAATAAAAGTATATAAGCGGACGAGTGTGTCTAACCGTTTTAAATTAGTTTTGCAACACTAAAATAAAATTGTCAAGAAAATACAACATATTCATACCGTTGGATTTAACAAGGTAATATTTACATAAAGATTTTACTTAACAATACTTAACTTAATCTCATCATTTTAAGTCTGAAACAACAATAAAACCGTTCTTCTTTTTACTTTCTAAAGTAAAATACTGTATAAGCAACATAGATTATAAAATGTATATGCAGAATGGTGATTTGCTTTATGAGTATCATTTTTGTTTTCTCTTACAGTTTAAAGACCTCCTTGACATGCAAACTAGAAACGCTGTGTACTTATTGATATGCCTTATTGCAATTCAAATGGTGTCGGAAGTTGTTTCCCGGCCACAAATGAACTGCTGCCGTTTCCGTCAGTGTCCTATTGGGAAAATGTGCGTAAATATTGGCTCACGTTGCAGATGTAAAAGCAATCGAGTTATTTCGGACTTTTTAGACATATTCTTTGGATCTCAAAAGCAACGGGAACTTTCAATAAAAGTTAGTGAGGATGAGGATCAACAATTCTGGTGATTGAAGGGTATATTCCAAATAGTGATATGTAACTTCTGTGATTGTTATATGAGCCGTGTCATGACAAAACCAACATAGTGCGTTTGCGACCAGCATGGATCCAGACCAGCCTGCGCATCCGCGCAGTCTGATCAGGATCCATGCTGTTCGTTAACCAACTCTATTACAAGTAGAGAAACTAATAGCGAACAGCATGGATCCTGATCAGACTGCGCGGATGCGCAGGCTGGTCTGGATCCATGCTGGTCGCAAACGCACTATTTGGTTTTGTCGTGACGCGGCTCATATAGTGAATATTGCCCAAAGTCAATATCTTGAAATGCTCAGACTTGTTCACGTAAATTGTAAACAAATTTGAGGAAGGTTGGTTTTTTTATTTGC